ATAGAATCATAAGTTAAAAACTTGTAATTAATTTAAATAGATACTAAGTTTCTTAATAATTGAAACCAAACCTTCTGAACCATCTGTTGAATCATAAAAAGAAAGGTGATTAGCAACTCCAGTAGGAATAGATCCTTCTCCATATAACATTTGTTCCAACTCTTCATAATTAATTCACTGACCTCCTCCTCTTCATCGTCAACTATCCAACCTTCAGTTTTGTCAATACTTCCATAATCAATAGGATCCAAACTTATTCTCTTGTAACACCTTCCTAAAATACCATAAAAAATATTAAAAGCATGACAACTAAAAATATCAAGGAAATAATAGATATAACAATAGAGTGATGCATAATGAGTAATTGACAATGTTTTATACCTGTTTTGCAAACGCAAGTTATAGTAATGAAAACAAGATCATTCAACCTTTATGCTCCAAGCTATTCCTCTTTTTAGTATGATGCGCTCAAAAACATCCCAATTTCGTTCACATCCAGAAGAGCTTGAAGTTTGACTAAATTTTTATTGCAAACTTTTGCAAATTGGAGTACTATACCCAAATTCTCCACCATTCATCTAATTGAAAATTAAACATAATAAATAAATTAAACTTAAAAACAAAGAACTTACAATTTTATAACTATTACATACCAGGACGTGTGGTTTTGCGGTTTCAAGAGCAAGCCCGCGGAAAAGCTTCCTCCCGATTTGAATATAACTCACTCTCTTCCATTACCTTGTCTTGCTCAATTGAAAGCACTTGCTTTACTGTCAATAGTATCAAGGAAACCACTCATGACTTCTGGCTTGAGGCAAAAAGATTCTTCGTCATATTTAAAGGCAGGATTCAAATAATAAGCCGCAGCATGGATATCACGACGCAATGTCCTATCCCAACGTAGCTTAATGATTCGTGTATAAGGCTTGTAGAATTTCTTTTTATTCTTAAACAACTTCTTAATTGCATTTTCTCTGCTTGTACATGCCATCATTCACATATCCTATTGCTGGCTTCTCATCTGAGTCAACAATCCTCAACAAGCGTATCAAGGACTCACAACTTATATCTTACCCATATCACCCAAAAATCGTTATCCAAAATTATGTCATAACATGTTTGCCTTTATTACTTTTTGCATATTGAGAATCGACAATGACCTATCTGTCACCATGGCTTGCAAGTCATGTTTGTGCTCATGAATGCTCTCATTGCAATGAAAGTTGTAGCAAAACGGTTGCACCCAGACGAACAATTCTTTCCAACCCTATTCAGTGATAATAATAGATGTTAGTCATATAAAAATGCATATTATGTTATGACTTACAAGAACAGCTAAAAGTATATTACCTGTCTCTTCCTCAACCAGCTATCAAAAATGTATGATTATATAAACTTCGTCACCTCAGAAGCACGTCTCGCAAGATAGACTATGTGATCCATCCCAGCTTGTCTTTTAACACCAAATTTATGCTATGTGCTGCACAGGGTGACCAAGTAATACTTGGATATTTCTCAGACAATATTCTTCCAGCAGCTTTATAATTGGATCCATTGTCTGAGACAAAATGGACAATACTTTGGTCCAATCCATAAACACCATTCTCAAACATCTTCAACAATGCCCAGCATCCTTCACACATCTGAACATCAACTGATTCACAAACAAACTCCCTTAGGACAATACCCCATAAATGATCATGACCTATGTGATTATCAGTCCAACCATCAGCCATTAAGGTCACCCAACATTTTCCCAAATCTTTCTATAACTATCAACAAGAAGCTGCACTTCCTTCTTAAATCTCTTACAATTGACACGCAAAGCATATAATTTGGTGTTTATACCCAGGCCCAATTGCGGCTATAGCATCCACCAAAGGCTGAAGATAAATTGAATTTACACCATTAATTGGGATGCAAGCATCATAAAAGAATCTTCCAAAAGCCATGTCTGCTCTCCATGTCGCATCTTTTCCAACTAAACAACTCCTAATTGATGGTTAGATCCACAATTGTCCTTGGACAAAAATATGACCAACCCCATAGATTTGTTTCTCTTTGATTGTCTAGCATTGTACTTGTTTTTGACTCAAACCTACCTTCATTTATGTGAATTCCGATGGACGAACCCTTCACTATCTTCATTTACATATCTCCCTCAAATACATGTACGGGAGCACCGAAGGGAGTATTATATTTACTAGAATCAGTCTTCTCTTTATTCTTTATCTCAATGTCTTTTAGTGATTCTCTCATGGATATGAACATCAAAAGGAACTTTTTTACAAGCACCAACATCCCCCTTTGTCCCTAGATGTTGTTTCATTCTAAAAATACCTCCTCCTCTAGTTCTTTCCCACAGTGAAGACTGTTAATGTCTTCCTTCCATTTGGATCTACGCCCTCAATAACATGTGCCCATGTTATATCAGTCCTACCTCTACTAGATTGTGAAGAAGACCCAGAGCTAGATGTTGCCATTGTCTATTTTTAATCTTTATCACCTATCGGCTATCACACAAGAAATAACAATTATCACTCAACCAATTGTAAGTTCACCGCTGTGTACTCAAGATAATGCAAAAAACTAAAGCCATTTATTCTTGTTCAAAAAGAAAAGAAGAAAAGAATGTGTTTTATATTGTAAGGGTTATAGAAGTGAAGAGGGTGAGTTGATAATAGTTTGATGACTAAATTTATTTTACAATTTAGTGAATTTAGTTGGATTAATATTGAATAGCAAAGTAAGTTCTTCGAGCCCAAGACTGTGGCATACAAAAGGTTATCAAGCGGCAGTACCCACTTTCTTATATGCTAACTTATATCAAAACTAATAATATAATATTATTATAAATGTGTGTATTCCTCCATTAATTGAAACAAATAAAAAGAAACTGCAAAAAAGAAAACTCAAGTGCAAAGGGTTGAGATATATAACACACACAATCTGTACATTATGAGTCTGTTAGCCTAATTTAAACGCATACTGAACAGAATTTTGCTCGTCTATAGAGTTGAACGACATATTTAGAAATTTCATGCTATATTAATATATCCTTTCCATTAACAAAATAGGAAATTCATGGCTGAATCGGTCAAAGGCTTGAAGCATTAATGATCTTCCAAACATATAAAACCAGAGCCATCCAGTGAAAATTTTACCTGACCAGGGCTAACAGCTTCATTTAGCATGCACGTAGTGACATACCAAAATTAGTGTTGCTGCCTCATTTTTCTTAGTTTTAAATTACTCATGCTATCCTCATGTCAAATTATGAATAAATGGATTAACACTACAATTAAGGTTAGCTGAATTTCAATTAAAAACACTTTTTGATACACATCTAACAAGAGCAATCAAGAAATCAGACAATTTGTCAACTCAAAAAGCCATGACAATTTGTCACTCAACCATAATGCATTTGATATCACCCCAATGCGAAATTTTATAAGCGGCAGCAGTTAGATAAGTAAAAGTAATCACAATTCACAAGCTTACAAGATATCTTAGAAGTCTCAACCTCAATTTTCATTGTTAGACTCGCCTTCAATTAGTAGCACCCCATACTTATCCTTTTCTATATCCAATCACTATATGCCACCGCAGCAAATCTAGAACCTACCAAATTGTCCTAAACTCAACAAAAGGTAACCATACCGCATTGGCAGTGTACCAAAGCAAGGAACATGGCAGTTAGATTCAACATCAATTAGAATTTATGGTAGAATATAGAGCATTCATAGTAGACCCGCTTGCAAATTAAAACAACATTCTCCCTTAATGTATACAACATAACCAAATACTCTAGCTATAAAGACACCTAAAACTGTGTCATGGAGATACCAGGAGAGTGCTCAACAATCATCACTATAATAGCATAATCATAGAAAAATAGCAAATGTTTGGGAGTGAATGCGGCTTTCTAATCTAGCTATCTATTAACATAATAAACCATTTATAAGAAGATCCATGGTTTATCACTTGATGTTCACCCGACCTAATCATTCAAATTCTCTTAAACTAAAAAAAATGCACTAACGCCACTGATTATACAACTTAACCATTAACTTCAAATCTAGGATTAACATTTATGGCGAGTAAAGCTGTCTAAGATATATGCACATGAAATATGAACTAAAAATTCAACTTCCGACGAGGAATGGCGTTACCTGGATCGATAAATGGAGCTGTCGTCGTCGATTTCCAGCTAGGGAGGAAGATGTCGTCGATTTCCGGCGAGGGAGGAAGACGTCGTCGTTGATTTCCGATGAGTTCAGATGCGATTTCGGTGGGATTTCAGAGAGAACAGAAGACAGCCGAAACCGTGAGAGTTTTGTGAGAAAAATAGAAAGAGAAGAAGATGAGAAGGGGCTACGCTGCGCGACAGAGAAGAAGAGAAGAAAGGCTGTGACGAATCGACGATGCGTGACAAAGAACTGAGAAGAAGAGAAGAATCGGTTGCGTGAGAGATCAGAGAAGACGATGGGCGCGTATTAGGGATTAAAGTGTGGACCGGTTTTTTTGCCGGTCCAGGTTCACTTATATTATCCGGTTTTCAACCGGTTTAAAACGGTTTAATTCTTATTAACGGTTTTGAGTGTAAACTGAACCGAACACGTGACCGGTTCACGGTCCAACCTGTTGGACCGGCTGGTCTGGTCCGGCTTTTAAAACATGGGCTGAATGTATCTTTTGGTGACCAAAATTTGGTGGTTAATTCTAATAATTTTAGACGCTAAATGTGAAATCCAAATGGTTTTCGCGACTATTTTATTAGTGAACGAATGTATCTTTTGATGACCAAAATTTGATGGTTAATTCTTATAATTTTAGATGCTGAATATGGAATCCAATTATGATAGATTACTGTCTGCAACTAAAAAATTAGTTATAGAATGTGTTTTTTTTTTTTTTTTTGAGAAAATAATTAGTGGCAAAAGCATTTTACATTAACCTAGTTTATACATTCAACATCAACAAAATAATCCATCACAATATAAAAATATGAACACTAACATCAAATATCTTATTTTCATACATATATATATTTATATATATAGTCCATACATGTATTTTTATGCATTAGGAGCAATAAAAATCCAGAATGCACAATCAAGTGTGCATAACCCAAAAAAAAGTATGCACCCACATTTTCATCAATAGCTATCTATATGTGCATAACTAACAAAAAAATGTCCACCCCATGTACACCATCTAACAAATATATGCAAACAATCCTAAAAAGATGGTCCTACCCCCATGTCAAAATATATACCGCCCATACAACAAAAAACTAACCATCAATATCTAGAGCATCTCAAGTGTCACCAGTTGAGGTTTTTGAAATAGCTGTAGCTGATGAGGATGAGTCTTCAGCAGTTGGAGATGGCGATGGCTGTTGAGTTGGAGCTTATCAGATTGTTGTAGTTCAAGGGCTATAGTTAACTGCTTCATCATCTCCAACAGGACAAATTGTTGTTGTTCAAGGGTTTTATTTTCTGTTTTGTTGATCAACTAAGATGAGCTGCTCCTCCAACTGTTTAATTTTATTTTCTTGTTGTTGTACTATGCACCTTAACTCTGCTTCTGCTGTAGTATCATGATGCTCAGTGTGTGAAAATGCAAAATTTTGATTAAATCCGGAAGCTTTACCCAGAACTTCCTCACATATTTCTGCTTCTGTTTTTTCACTTTCCCCTGCTTGTGTTTCATCTTGTAGCTCTATCATTTTTTCCTACCATCAACTCAATGCATAATCAATAAGTCATGAAATAATTATACAGGACCGATAATTGAAAGATGATCAACTTACATATAGCTCTCTTGCTTGATCATCCCACCCTTTCTCAGTGCTCCAACGAGTGTCATGAAATAATTGTATAGGACCGACAGATTCCCCAAGTTGGTTTGCCTAAACAGTTCATATGGTCATTGACATAACAGTTCTTTGCCACAATATTGGCTACAAAATCAAAATAATGCATCATTAGTAAATATTATGTTATCACAAGGATTGTTTACATGTTGGTAAAGTAAATTGGATTCTTAAATTTTAAACAAACATTGGAAACAATATCTAAAATCCAAGTATATATTTCAGTATGCTTATGTTAACCAATATCATAACTTTACCAGTGTTTGCAGCAATTTCAGGAGTCAGTTCAACACTCTGATTCTTATGAACAACCTTTGCACATCTAGTTAGGGTCCTTCTTGTACCAGAAGCCATCTTCGAAATCTGCAAACATCAACATAAGAGAAAAGATACTGAATTGTGTGGCCAATGTGCAAAGCCAAATTGGTTTTTTTCATTCTTTCATTGCTTTATGAGAGTTTGTTGTTAGTAGCTGTTGATTCAGTTTCATTTTCAGTTTTTAACTTTTAGAACTGAATCTGTAAAGTCTCTTGATAAATAAGCCTGATAATATACATCGCTTAAATAAATTGACACGGTACCTTTTGACAGCTTATCAACTCGAATTTCAATTAAGAACACAGTTACATAAACAGAAACCATCAAAGAGAATTAAAACCCCATCAAACAGAAAAATTTCAGCGTTCTAACAAGGAAAAGACTAAAGACCCTGGGATTAAAACCCTTAAACCAGATTGGAAGCACAGCCATTAAGCAACTTCCCTAAATTATTGGCCCCTAATATCCTTGTTTTCACATCATTATTAAATGTTTCATTGTCATCATTAACACTATTTATTTTCAAAAGCCTAAATAATTTATTAGGAATATTATATTAAATCCAGCATCTTCAGTAACTATAATCCTATTTCCTCTCACTCTATGCTTCACATTCAATATAATAATGTACACTAATACATTTGAGTCTTTGTTTTTAAAGGTTTATGGCATGACAGATTGAATCATGAAACAACTGCAACTATACTCACAGCAGTTCAAATACAAGTAATTTAACAGTCTTCAGCTACAAACTGATCAAATGTGTACATTTATGGATCAATCTTGAGCTACAAACTTTCTCTACAGTCTAACTTCCACTTATATATATATATATATATCCTGTACAAGGAATGGTATATTTAATTAGGTTTTTCACGGTCATGATCAGTGAATTTCCGACACAAACTTTTACATCAATTATTGTTAGCCTCGACATAGGATTTCAATTTACCAACACACATATCTGTGTCAAGGCAGCCTGTAATGTCTTAACATCACTTTAATCACATCATTAAGTGTTGTATTACTTCATTTAATTAACAAAGCTTAGATATAGTTGAAAACAGTGACATTCCTTGAGCAGTTGAAAGTCTTTAGAATATATAGTAGTGGATCTTGATGTGCAATCAATTTGTCCATGATCAAAACAATGGATTACAAAAATGGAACAGAGGCAAAACAGTGCTGTTTGGGAAAAGCAATAATAGTGGGAGCATTCTCGGCTAGATTACACTATTAAGTCTGGTTTCAGACTAGTTCTTCTCATTTGGTTGAACACACCAAATGCTTCACCAACTTTCCCAACATTCACAAACCCACCAATAATTATTGCCCATGATCAAATATGAGGTTCCCTCCTCCACTATAAGATGCTTCTTTGAAGCTAAATTTACAAAATGTATGTTTAACTTAGGCAAAATTTGACAAACAAAATCAATTGACAAGTATATATAAATATACATAGAGGTTATGACAGAAGGGATCAAATCATGTTCAACTCTTGTTGGAAATGGAACCAAAGGCTCTGACTACCAAGGGGGAGACAAGGGAAACAGGCATCTTAATTTTTAAATTGAATTACCTTGAACAAATTGTCTGAGAAAAAAGATCACCACCAACTAGCAATCTTGATCCTCCTGTTTTTAGACTGAGTGCTCGTATGGAGCTACCCTCACTATCTGCAACATAAATTTCTGTGAAATCTACAAATAAGCATGCATTTGAAACTTCAGATTTGATGACAGAAACATTTAGACTACTATAAAATGTTGAGAATATGAAATATGTCTAAATATCCCAGCATATTACCATCACTTTATACAATTCTGGACGGTTGTGCAAATGATGTGGTTGTAGAGGTACTTCAACAAAAAATCAATACATCGATGCCAAACTTCCAGGAGAATCATATCAGTGGAAAACATAAATATAAATGAATAAAAAATTGAAATTAAGACAAATAATGCTCGGGTATAACACATATATATTTGATGAGTGCAAAAAAATAGATAGACATAACTATTGGATCTTTTCAGGAGCTATAAACATTTAACAGGGTAGTCACCATCCGAGCTGAGGTTTTGTCCTTTCTCAATACAAGCTCATCCAAGTTCAGCTTGGACTTCAAACTGATCAAACTTTTCTTTATCAACTTTAAATTTTTTTCTTTCTTATCAACTTAAAGGTTCCAATTTGGAGCACAAATATCCATAAAGATTTTATATGTGAAGTATGAAGATGCAAAAGAAAAAAGAATCATCTGATCACTTTACTGATTATTATAATTCTTTGAATTACCTTGATCCATTCAAGTTCCTTTCATAACCACCATTGTTATCTTTTTCATGGATAAACGAAAACCCATCTCACACTGCCAAATCATTTCGCCTTTTTCCATCCTTAAGCTCCATTTCCTTGGCTTAAAATTTTCTTTCATAATTTCGGTGCTTTTTAAAATTATTATTAGAAAGAAAGTCAGAAATAGTTAACAGCCCTCAATCCCCTTGCTGAATATGGTTTCACAAGGTTAACAAGTACAATTTCAAGGCTAAACACTTAGGTTGTGAACACTAAAAGTTGGATTTATTTATTGGCTTCGTTAGGAAATCAGTTGAGCTACTCTCGTGAGTAGGCCCCTGATACAAGGATGTTGGATTGTCCCTTCATTATGTTTGCCAAAATCAAACTGACTTTTAGCAGCCACTACAGGAAACCCAGAGCATTTTTCAGGGAGGCGATAACATTCTTTCCATTTATCGGTAACAGGAGATTGATAAACAGTAATGTAATAAAAATCAAGAAACAAGACATAACAATATTGATTTACAAAAGAGAAGTGGCTTATTCCTACACGATGAAGCAAAAATCAGTAACAAAACATAACAATATTAACCAGACGACGTCAAATTGAAAAAGACAATAAACGAATCCTTACCTAAATCGAAGAGCGTGTTATGGGTTTGAGTTTAGATGGTGTCGCCGTCGTTGTGGCGCGGCGGAGCTGGGTTTCTAGCCGTGAAACAAAGTTCCTGGAGAGTGGAAAGTGTGATAGATTGTTTGGGTATGGAGTCTTTAGGCGCTCGTGTGGGTGGTAAGTGAGAGAGAGAGATCTAATCAGTGGAGAGGTGTTGCAGTGGCAACTGGAGAAGTCTTGACTTCAAGGGAAAAATGTAGAAGAAGATGCGAACGGCGTGGAGAAGTGGAGACTGTTTTGTGTTTTAAAATTAGTTTGGGGATTTTGTAAAACTGGGTTTACTATCTTTTTAATTTTGTTTAATTTTAAGTTTCAAACATTTTTGTGCAAAATTGTTAACTTTTTTTTTTTTTTTTTACCCTAAAACCAGGATTGGGGTTTTGTTTTTCTTTAATTGTAAGGATTTAGGGACTTTTCAATTTGTTTACTTTTTAAATTTTAAGGAAAATTTGTTTATTTGTTTATTTTTATTTTTTTTAAATTGGAAATTAGGTTTTTGTATTTTTGTGGATCACAATCGAATGGTTTCCCAGATAAACAAAAAACTGGTTCGGTTCCCGATTAGGTTCGGTTTCTACATTTTTCTAAACACCCCTACATTTAGGTGTTCGGTATACGCCTTGCCAAAACTCACCGAAGTTAACAATCTCCATCGAGATAGGCACAAAATAAGTGCCAGAGTTAGTAAGCGAGTTATTGTCTACTGAACGAGAGTGGTAGAAACTAGAATTGTTGTTCCAGTGGCGGAAGGAGGTCGACTATGAGGGTTTATACAAATGAGTGAAATAGCGGTTAAGCAAAAGTTTTAGGGAAAAAATGGTCATGTCAGATGAAAGAGAAGACAAAAATAAAATTAAACATCATTCATTTATTGGTAACAATAAACGAATTTAAAGCACTTATTACAATTATAATAGTCATTGTAATATCAGATGAAAGAGAAGACAAAAATAAAATCACCCATTACGAAGTTAAAGCCACCATTTAGGAACGTCACTAACAACATATGCTTAAACAAATTAAAGCAAATGTTGTGAAGATACGGATTGAAAATCAAACAATAAATTGAAATACCATTTGTAAAAGAATGAGCTTTTGACATAAAAATTAAAATTGATTATGGTTACTATTAGTATATATTATTTTTAATAAATAATATTTAGTGGCTAACATTTTGGTTGCAAAAAAATTCTATTAACAACTATAACTTTAGTTGCCAAAATAACATACCCAAAATTTCAATTTATTTCAAGCAGGAACATGGGATGCTCAAAATTTACCATATATTTAGTAACTAAAATCTTAGTTGCCAAAAGAAAATAATTTGCAACCAACTAATTAGTTACGTAACAGTAATTTTAGTCACAAATTAAAATAATATTTTTTTCATTTCACCGGAAAAGTTGGGGTCAAAAAAATTCATAAACTTTTAGCGACTAAATACATTTTAGTTGCTATACATGAGTTTTTGCAACCATTTGTAATATGCACAAAATAATTAGTTGCCAAATGCACCCTAGGCCCTTTGTAATTATTGTCAGAAGCTTGGATATTTCGGTAATTGTATTATTTTGTAACTAAAAAAATAGTTACAAATTAATTAATAAATATTTGCATCTAATTTAGCAACTATTCAGTAGTTGCAAATAATTGTTTTCTGTACCCATAATTTTAGTTGCGGAATCTCTTGTGTAGTTGCCAATTTTGTTCGGCAAGAATTGACAACCAAATAAATTAGTCGCTAATGTGATATTTTGGGCAACAAATCAAATTAGTCGCAGAATATTAATTTTAGACACCAAAGGCAAGAATAAATTGACCCTAGAATTTTATTCCCCTTTGGCCGACTAATTGGAATTTAGTTACTAAATGTGGGGTATCTACAACTATTTTTGCCTAGTGGCAAAATAATTGGTTGCAAAAAGTATTTTTTCTTGTAGTGAATTTGAAAAATGGTTGGAATATAGTATAGCCAAAGATGTTGTGTTTTGTCTTTATTGCTATCTTTTTAAGTCAAATGGTGATAAAGGGGATGGTGATCGCTTTGTTGGTAAAGGGGTTTCAAATTGGAAAAAGAAAGAAAAATTGAATATTCATGTTGGAGGTTCTAATAGTGCTCATAATCAAGCTCGAAGAATGTGTGAAACATTATTGAATCAAGACCAAAATATTCAAACATTTTTTTATCGACATTCTTCTCAAGCACGAACAGAGTATTGCACTCGTTTAAATGCTACAGTTGACTGTATTTGTTTTCTTCTAAGGCAAGGACTTGCATTTTGTGGTCATGATGAATCCTATGATTCAAGCAACTAAGGGAATTTTCTCGAGCTTATACAATTTCTTGCTAATTATAATAAAGATTACAATGTTATTGCTTTCAAGAATGCTCCTGATAATCTCAAATTGACATCACCTGATATTAAAAAAGACATTGTAAGTGCTGCTTCAAATGAAACTATAAGTGCTATCATTAGAGATTTAGGAGATTCATTATTCGCTATAATGATTGATGAATCTCGTGATATCTCTAGGAAGGAACAAATGGCTATTGTCTTACGTTATGTTAATAAGAATAACTTGTTGTGGAGCGTTTTCTAGGTTTTGAACACGTTACTAGTACCACAACTCTCTCACTCAAGGCAACACTAGATAATTTCTTTTCAAGGCATGGGTTGAGTTTTTCTAGATTGCGAGGACAAGGGTATGATGGAGCTAGTAATATGCAAGGAGAATTTAATGGTTGGAAGACATTGGTTTTGAAAGAGAATAGATGTGCTTATTATATTCATTGTTTTGCCCATCAACTCCAGTCGACTCTTGTGGCTTTGGCAAAGAACCATGATGATGTTAATAATCTTTTTAATATCGTGGCAATTGTGGTTAATATTGTCGGTGCTTCGTCAAAGCGTTGCAATCTTCTTAGAGATAAGCAAGCTTGTAAAGTTATTGAAGCTTTTTCTAATGGTGAACTTTCAAGTGGAAAAGGTCTCAATCAAGAGACTAATCTGCAACATGCCAGTGATACGCGTTAGGGCTCGCATTATGGTACGTTAATGAGCATAATCTTGATGTTTTCATCGTTTATCGATGTTCTTGAAATTGTGGCAAAAGATGGGTCAAACTTTGAGCAAAGATTTCATGCAAAAAATATATTTAAATTGATGCAATCATTTGACTTTGTGTTTAGTCTATTTTTTATGAAAGATATATTTGGCTTTACAAATGAACTTTCTCAAGCACTACAAAGAAAAGATCAAGATATTGTAAATGCTATGAATTTGGTTAAAGCATGTAAGCAAGCTTTACAATTGATGAGGGATAATGGATGGGAGACTTTATTAAGCAAAGTTTATTCTTTTTGTGCCAATCATGGCATTGATATTCCTAATATGGATGACAAGTTTTTTATTCAAGGGCGATCACAACGTAAGGCTCAAGGTATCACAAACGTGCATCATTACCGTATTGAATTATTTTATAATGTCCTAGATATGCAGCTTCAAGAGTTGAATAATCGTTTCAATGAGGTAAACATTGAATTCTTATTTATTTGGCATGTTTATGTCCAAATGAATCGTTTGTTGCTTTTGATAAACGGAAATTGATACGCCTTGCCGAACTTTATCGTGATGATTTTTCTGACTTAGAACTTATGGCACTTGATTCTCAACTTGATGTTTACATTTTGGATATGCACTCTAATGTCAAATTTATGGGATTGAAAGGGATTGGAGATCTGGCAAAAATGATGGTTGAAACTAAGAAGGATAGAGTGTTTCCATTAGTTTATTTGTTGATGAAATTAGTGTTGATTTTACCCGTTACCACTGCTAGTGTAGAGAGAGTATTTTCAACAATGAATTTTGTGAAGAATCGTTTGCGAAATAGAATGAGTGATCAATGGTTGAATGATAGCTTAGTTGTGTATATAGAGAAAGATGTATTTGATAGTATTGATAATGAAGTCATTATACAATACTTTCAAAAGATGAAATCCCGTTGAAAATAATTATAAATGTACTAGTTAATGAGAATTTTATAAATACAAAATTTATGCTTATGTTAATTTAAAATTGTATTGTTCTTTTAACTTTGACCCCCCTATACATTATTTCTGGCTACGCCCCTGCTCTTAGACATCTTTGACATCATTTGCATGCTATGCTTTCTTAGCACGTTTTAAATTACATACAAGTTTTTCTTTTTTTTGATATAATTTCTGGCTACCGAGGTCAGGTAAGTGAGGGGTTTTGGAGAGGGGGCTGCAGGGACGAAGATGGTGGTGTCGGGGAAGGTCAACGACAGTGGATACGTGCCGGAAATGGCTGTCGCACGCGGTGAAGAATGAAAATGGGTTGCGAAAATCAGCAAAAATCTGCCAAATTGGGGGTTGTCAAGGCTGGGAAAACGTTTCGGAAATGATTAAGTGATAAATCCGATCGATTTTGGTGAGAAAATTAACGGGAATCATCATTTTAATGCCGACAGCGACACTATGGTAGTGTAGAGGGGTGGAGATGCAATGTTTTCATCATTTTAGGGATTGAATGAGTGTTTTGAAATTTTAGACATTTAAATATTAGTTTAGTTAATTTAGGGGTGTGAATGGACAATATGAGACATGGGTTTTTGTAAATTTATGTAAAAAAATTATAATGAATTTGATCCTTTTTGGCTTTTTTAGAGCCTTTTGGACCAGTTTAGATAAAAAATTATAAACTTTTTTAGACTTAATGATATTTTTATAAATTTATTTTAAAAAAAATCTTAAAATAATTTTTGACCCTTTTTGGGGGCCTAGGCAGGTACTCCTTGGGCCGGCCCTGACTAGTTACTAAAACTATCTTCTTAAACGTGGGAGCAGGCGAATCAATTATTAATTTATTAGAAAAACCTCACATGCAGGGCGGACCCCAATTTTTTTATTTGTGATTAAATTTTTTTATTTGTACGTTTTTATCACATACACGTTTTTCTTTTGTCTCGATATAATTTGACTAATTGCTAAAACTATGTTCTTAAACGTGGGAGCAGGAGAATCAATTATTAATTTATTAGAAAAACCTTACATGCAGGGCGGTCCCCAATTTTTTTTTTTTTTCAATTTTGTTTTATATTTGTCTAGCATATATAAAACTATAAGGTGAGATTACTATAAGGAGGTTATAATATAATAGAGGTGTAGTTATAAAAATTATTGTTTTAATTTCTTATTTTATAATTTATATTTTAGTAGTATGTATTAGGATTTCAATTCATTGTTTTAGCAGTCCTTATTACAATTAGACAAGAAGAGAAAATAAATAATCTTGAAGATGATAGTACGAAAATACAAAAAGTTTTGTGTCAAGAAACTCTAAACGTACTTGAGAAGCTAAAAATATTCTAGCATCAACAACAAAGTGTCTATGTTAACGAGTTATTATATACCTGTAAATTAAAAGATGTGATAACAACTCTAAAGCATAAATCATTGTCCCAATGTTTTTTAAATAATAAAATATTTTATTTATATTAAACCTTTAATGTAACATAACATAACATATATATATAATATTATATATAATATATATATATATATATATATAGTATTAATATGTGGAGACGACTTTTTTTAGACTGGAATTAGAAAAAATTTTTATGATAGTATCACTACGTAATGTTTTACTGTATATATAAACTCACATACAAAAAAACTTATTTTACCAGTTTTTTTGTTTTTTGTTTTTATCTTATTTTATAGATATCTCATATTTTCTTACGTGTGGCATATTTATATGTCTATGATAATTAATAAATTTAACTTTTTTTTTTTTTAAACTTTAATTGATCCATAAATCTATTTTTCAACCCTTATTTTGAAACCCCAAACTATAAGTCTATATGATTATTCTTGTATAAGGTTTTTAAGGGTCTTAGTTAAATATGTAATCTTAAGAAAACTTCTTGCATAAACAATGTTAAACTAAATCAAAATTGATTCATTTAAATACATTTAATTGTTATTCATCATCTTTAGAGTGTGGTCTAAAGACATTCTTATATATACGTCCTTAAAATCAATTTCTTTTTAAATGTCCCTTCTAACACAATTTTTTTGGTCCACCAGTGTATTTATATACGTTAAGCAATTACATCAATTAATTTTTCTTTTTGATAACTGAGATATTTGGATCAGCTTGTTTGTACCTCAATCAATTACAGGGGTCCATTGAATACCCTACAAGCCCAAAGGACTAGGAAAGCCATGATATTATTATGGTAGGTAGATCCAATATTTAAATCTAAGAACTCAAAGAAATGAACAAACCTTCTTCACCACCAGGCTAACCCTTAGGGTTACATCAATCAATTCCCTTAATTTTGGTTTTTTATAAAAGTTTCTGAATAGTTTATGTAACCTGTTGCACATTTACTCCCTTAGGGTTACATGAATCAATTCCCTTAATTTTGGTTTTTTATAAAAGTTCCTAGCATTTGAATAGTTTATGTAACCTGTTGCACATTTACTCCGTGGGCGGCTAAATTTGTGATCATTCGTCATAATTAAAAAAAAAAATACAAATAAAATCACAACGAAAATTCGAGGATTCACTATGCATAAGAATCACAACTAGAGAGATAAAATTCCAAAAACGAGTAACGCATATTGATTAGACATGTCTTTTCTCTTAAGCAAAATAGAGTTCATATACAAGAATGTTGATGCTTGATTTTAACACAAATTATTCGCACGTGCAAAATGCTAAGTGGACTTAGAAATTATATGTGAACTGGAAAATAAAATAAATAAAAAGCAGATGATTTTTAAAGTGATTTGGATGCTCAAAGCGAATCCTATGTCCACTATCTTCTTATAAATGAAAGATTACAATCAAATCACAAGTAGCAATCAGAGAAAACATAAATACAGAGAGGGAGAGAAAGTATTTATATTATCAGAATTAGAATCCCAAAAAATAAGAGGGGAACTCTCTATTTATAGTAAGAGGTTTCTAGGTAATGATTACGGGTCTGTCAGCAGACAGGTGCCGTACAGTTCCTACCCTGCTTCCCATTGGTTAGTTACATGGAAGATATCCTTAAATCGCGCAGAGCTTGGGCAGGTGGGTGACTCCCAGCCACTCACTCGCCAAGTCTTTACCTGTCAAGCTGATGACAGCCTTACTCCTTCTGTCCTTGGACGACGTGGCAGTGTTTCGACGGCACAATATCTTTTTGAACTCTAATTGGTTATCGCATATGTAAGCCTGCATCAGCCCTGATTTTTTAGGCATAACAAAGAACAATCAAAATTTAGGATTGTATAAGAATCACAACTTTTAGAGATAAGGTTCCTGGGTGAACGTAACTTCCATTTCATGCAAAGCAAATGAAACGATTAAAGCGAGGGTAGGTAAATACTCTGGCATGCGGACGGTGGCTGGTGGCTGGTGGTGGGTGGCTGCTGTCATGCTTAGTTCCTTCTTAATTGTGAATTCCAGCAAGCTCAGTTCATGTTTCCAATTATTTAGGTAAGACGTTTTGGAAATGGAGCTAGCTGTTACATATGAAATAAATCAAACATCAATTTTCTGTGTATCGATCAAAGGAAAGAGCGAACATAATTAGTTAGAAGTAGATAATTTGATTCCGTTTGGCATTCATCAACCACAGCTTTTATTCTTTTTCGTTTTTATTTTAATGGAAAGGGCTATAAGTGATAAGTTATCTTATTATAGGTTATATTATAAGTTAATTATATTTTATTAACGCATATAGAGAGTTTCTGGCACATGGGCTCTAGTTCTTTTTTTTTTTTTTTTTTTTAATGACGAGGTATCCAGACCAGCTTGCGTATACTTTAACTAATTCTCTATGGCCTAAATTGACAATCGGGTAAATCTCCTCAGTGGTCACTCCTATTAGTAACTCAAGTAGATCAAATTCAAGATCTTTTGAGTGATACTTCTAAGAGTCTTAGTTGATTACTAGGTCACCCAATAGTGATTATTTTTCTTTCCTGACCATTTGGCATTGGCTCGTTTAGTTAACAAAGTTTATACAATTAGTGTAGGAACATGTACAAATATACAATTATTGGGATTAATAATCACAAATAATTAAATTGCATCTTAAAGTAAAAAGGGATTAAACAGATATTTATATAACATAAATCATAAATTTATTCATACGTACATTTCGTGTTGTGTCCAATTTTCTTGTTGTGACATGTTGAGGGTACGTTCATTTGTCAGAGAACAGTCCAGATACGAATATTATTCATGTATCATGCATAAATCGATGATTTGTTATATGTTTGACGTGGTATTGTTTTATACCATATAACTCTCTTGTTATCAAGACACTGTGGAAACTTAGTTCTCTCTGACAATTCCACTGCATATATTCTCTTTTTGAATTTTTTGTGCTTTCTTTCTTTTTTAATTATTGTGTGTGTGAAGAAAAAAAAAAAAAATATCAAGTATCTGTTTCATTAGTCATAATTTATAAACAGCTGTCAAGTTCAAAACTTGGAATTATCACTGAGGTTTCTAGGTCAGTTGTGCATACCTCAATTAATCTCTTGGAACTCTAAAACTATCGACTGGGTAAGAATCTAGTGGTCACCCTTACTAGTGTTTGGAAATACTTAAACTCAAAAATTTATAAAACTTTTTTTTACCCTTTTCCTATCAGAATATCTAGTAGTGGTTTAGAAAATTTACTAAGAAGTTATTTATTAATATTTATTAGCTAAGTCAGCGCATGTGTTTCAAGTCAATCCACTAATTAATGGCGGATTGATTAATTGCTATATAAAGAGCTATGCACTCCAAGATTTTTAAACCACAAACTCAACTTATTTTCATTGTGAAGTTTTCTTTCTAACTTAATATGATGGATGTTCGGGGTTCTCTTTATTCGAAGTCCTTGGCACTTGCATCAACAGAAGAAACTAGAAATGCTGAGGTGATCCGTCGATCATCTAATTATCACCCCAGTGTCTGGGGTGATTATTTCATTGTTTCGACTACTGATATGGTATGTATTTATCAAACATTTACATCATCATCTTCGTACTGCAATTAATTATTGTTTTCTAGAGCTTGTTTCTTATTGAAATTCTGTGTCTTTTCATTTCTGCACTAAAACATCATGCATGGATTTCATTTTTCCCATATAACAAGAAATTAAAGTAAATTGTTACGTCCATGTTTGTGAATACGCCCTACTGCAGATGTTCTTCGATCCTGTAGCTCTGGTTTAGTTTCATTTGTGCTAAATACAGTACGGCGAATATAAATTTCTAAGGTTTTGTTACGTTGCAGGGGATGTGAGAGCCACCGACAGTTTTTTTGTTTTTATTTTTTTTTAAGAATATCAATACATAATAAGATTGAATATTGCTTAAGTTGTATAGATTGTTTTTGGAATATTATTTTTGCATGAAATATCATATCATTATTGACTGGCTGTAATTAAAGAACGTGGAACAATTGGGACGTTTTCATTTTTCGAACTCAAAGGTCCTGGGAGGCAAAACCAACAGGAAACGAGATACTGAATCCATTTTATGTCTCTTCCATGCATATTTTCTCTCCCTTTGTCTCTTTCATTCCTGTGACTCCCCATTCCCATCACCACCCATATATTGAAGCTCGCTCGATCAATGTTTCTGAAGAAAAAAAAGAATAGCGAGATTTATAATTATTGTTGCAATTAAATGAAACTAATCATTCATGAAATAAGATTACTTCCTATATAAACACCTTCTTATTTATTAATAGCATGAAACTAACTAATAAATTTTTTATTTTCTTATAATCGTTAATGCAGAAGCCCGATCCTGAAGTTGAGAAGAGAATTGAAACGCTGAAAGAAGATGTAAGAAAAAGATGCTAAGCAATGCAGCAGGAAAAGCAACATTAGAAGAACTATCGACTCTTATTGATACTCTTCAACGCCTTGGCGTGGCATATCACTTTGAATATCAGATCAGCCAGGCCTTACAGTCAATTTACAACAACTATGTTGATAATAACAATATTAATGGTAGTGATGACGATGATCTGTATACAATTGCTCTTCGCTTCCGGCTTCTAAGGCAACAAGGTTATTCTCTGTCATCAGGTAAATATTATCATCTCTATAATTAACTTGTTATTCACTTCAATATTCTAACATTTGGTTTAAACAGATGTATTCAAAAAGTATGTTGATGATAACGGTGAATTTAAGGCCACGTTGGCAAATGATGCAAGAGCTTTGTTGTGTTTGTTTGAATCATCGAATTTGAGAAAGGAAGGAGAAGACATATTGGAACAACTCCAACGATTTTCTACCAGGCAATTGAAATCAATGTTGCCTCATTTAAACTCTTCTTTCGCTGAGGAAGTGAATCGCACCCTAGAGCTACCCTTGCACAAAAGGATGCCGAGATTAGAAGCAAGGCAATATATCTCCATCTATGAAGGAGATGCAGCTCGAAACGACCTATTATTGGAGATAGCGAAGTTAGATTTCAATTCCTTACAGAAATTGCACCGGACAGAGCTCTGTGACCTCTCAAGGTTACAATTTCTTAAATTTTGAATTGTATGTTTATTATTTCATATGTTAAAATACATATTTAATAAAATATTCAACAATTTTACCTATCTTTGAAATATTGTTAGTATATAAATTATTTGAAAACTGCTTTTTTAAAAAAATATTTCAACAAATTTTTTTTTTTTTTTTTTTAAATTTTCTATATCCTTCACTTAGAAAATAAAAGGTTGGATCTTAATTACACTAAAATGACCCCATGTTCTCAATCTTAACTCTTCTCTGCTTGCGCGTGCTTATATGATATATGTAGTCATTAAATTTCTATAGGAAATTGGGCTTTTTTTATATATAATGTGATTTTCAGGTGGTGGAAAGCCATCGATTTTGCGACAAAGCTATCTTTTGCAAGGGATAGGTTGGTGGAGTGCTACTTCTGGATTTTGGGAGTTCATTTTGAGCCCAAATATTCCATCAGTAGAAAATACATGACCAAAATCATCGCAATAGCCTCTGTCATAGATGATATCTATGATGTATATGGCACCCTGGATGAACTCAAGCTATTCACTAATGCAATTGAGAGGTATTAATTGGCACCAGAATAATTATTATAAATAAAAGTTTACATCATTATGCTTATAATTTGATCAAGTGCCATATATATATATATATACATGGCGTTCAGGTGGGAAGTTTTGGCTGCAAATGATTTACCCGAATATATGCAAGTATGTTACTTTGCTCTCTTAGACGTTGTGAAGGAAATGGAGGACAACCTGGTGAATGAAGGACGATCTTATCGTGTACATTATGCAAAAGAGGCAGTAAGATCTCTAATATAATCAATGAGATCAATATATATTATCATTGCAATTGGTAGAAGATTGATTAAATTTGATTACTTTTCTTAGATGAAGCCCTGTCAGAGCTTACTTTGTGGAAGCAATCTGGTTCAACACAAAGTATGTGCCACTTTGAAGAATACTTGGAGATTTCCGTGATGAGCAGTGGATACCCTATGCTTTCTGTTCAAGCTCTTGTAGGTTTAGAAGAAGTAGCACTAAAAGCCTTCGATTGGGCTATTAGTGTTCCTAGAATCCTCAGGTCTTCTGCCTTAATTGCTCGTCTCGTTGATGACATCCATACTTACAAGGTAGGAGATACTCATCATCAAATAGAACTAAAAATATAATATAAATTGGTCTAACATTTAAAATTTGTTTCTATATCTAACGTTAATTAGTTGAGGAAGAGCGAGGGATGCGCCATCAGGATGTGCAATGCTACATGAAAGATCACAATGTGTCCGAGGAAGAGCATGCAAGAATAAAGAAATGGTGGACATTGCATGGAAAAATTCAATGAGAAAATTCAAGAACCAAACCATCCTCCTTTGCCGCTTCTTCTTCCATCTCTAAATCTAGCTCGAATGATGGAGTGTTTATATCAAAAGGAGATTGTTACACCAACTCCACGGGAAAACCAAGAAGAGAATTGCATCATTACTTGTTGATCCTATTCCCATATGATCATGTCCATCTTATTTATTTGATTTCCAATGGAATTTATTTTCATAATATTATGAACTAAAAAGTACTACTGCTATGTCTTCATTTAGATTTTGAAGTGCTGTAATAAGTAATCACCACCATGACGGTGATGATGCTTTAATAATAAGTGTGCAAATGTTTTTCAGGGCCCCTGTTGTACATCAAGTCCAATTTTCTCGGCCCAAATTCTAATCTTTCAAGGTGAAAAGGGTAAAAAGTAATACAGCATGAGTACACTATGATAAGACAGAATTATCCTTAACAGCATTCCTCCAGTGACAAAACGCGGGACAATATCTTTATACCCTGAGTGTGGCTTAAATAACCTTTCGTCCTGTTAATTATTAGTAACGTTTTGATCCTTGTCAGTGTCCCAACATTTTGCCATTTTGGTACCCAAGGTTTTTATGGGTGCGTTTGGTTCATTATTTGGATAGGATTTTGAGAATAATATTGGTAGTTGGATAGGAAAATTTACGAGGTAAACTTTAAAAATGTATAAAAGCTCTTTGGTTTGCTAATTTAATTAAAGACCCTAATATATAAAATGATAAAAACACCCCCACCACCTACAGTGCTAGATTCCGACCACCACCATTGAAATCTGGCAAAAATTTTTGTTACGACACAGCCGGTCGGATATGTGTCGTAACGCGTCGCTATGGCTTTTTCGACCAGATCCACCACGAATCTGGCCGAAAAAGGCTAGATTTAAGGCCAAATGTTGCCGTCAACCGTCAAAAAGTCAAAAGAAGTCCATCTTTGGCCGTCATTTTCGGTCAACGCGCCCATTTCTTTGGCCATCAGCGAACTTTCGGCCATTTCTGGTCGCAGGTAGACCGTTGTATAGATTCCAGCTGCCATCGACGGTGGTTGCTGGAATCTGGCAAGTATGGTTGGAGGGTTTTTGTTATTTTTAAACTTTTTTTTTCTAGGGGTATTTAATGAAATTAATAAGTTTAAAGGGTGTAAAATAATTAAAAAATATAGTAATATTTCTGGAATAATGTGCCAACAATATTTGGGGAATAGGATATAAAATGGATAAAAAAAAAGAATTAAACATGGCCTATAATGCTAGACCAAAAGCGTTACTAATATACTACTATAGGGGCTAAGAGGTTATTAATAATTTTACGAAGGGACTAAAGCAAACCTCAGTGATGACATTGATCTTTTCCCAAAACGACCTGTTCGCACTCCAATGGAGGGTAACCCTGTCGTTACACAAGTAATTTATTATAAACAAAGGCTGAATCCGTAATTTGATAAAGAATTTCATTTATATAATTTCACTCTCTGTAAACCTAAAAAAAAATCAATTGATTTGGTCCTAACACTATCGAGGGTTTTAGTCTTTTAGCTTAAAGCCTTAAACCCATAATGGCAACGAGGGCGGTGGCGGCACAGCGCGGCTTGAGGCGTCTCTTCTCCACTTCTCCTTTCCTTCTTTCAACCCTCCGCCGTCCGCGGCGGCCGCTCAGCAACCCAAGGCCGAGCCCAGCACCAACCTTTTTGTCTCAGGTACCTTTCTTGTCTCTCTTTATTTTCCAATAGCGCTTTTCATTCCTTTCCGTATTTACTTCTATTTACCCTTCAGGGTCACAGTTTTTATTTGTGTTATTTATAGATCCTTTTTTTTTATGTTATTTCTCTAAAGTTTTGTTTTTGTTATTTTTTGTCGATGATTTTGATTTTGAATTTTAGTTATTATATTGTTAACATTTTAGGCTCAGATTGTTGATCTATTTGTTAAGTTAGTTCATGTAGATTAAAGCCTAATTTTTGCAGATCAATCTTAAAGAGGAATAAAAGTATGTTAATGATTTTGAAATTTATTGTGAACATAATTACCGAAGTTATACTGAATTTGGGGTTTTGGTTTTAGACAGGTATGGTTTGTGTTCAACCTAACCTAAATCATCTTGTGGCCGGATATGGTGTCTTTCCTTGATGCAATTAAAAAATTATTGTTAAATTATTTGGTTATCAGTTTTATATCATTGGTATTTTATCCATTGAGTATATTTTCTATCATGTAGAGGTTACTTCATATTCACACTTTGTAAATATCTAACACTTGTGTGAGGGCTAGCAACAACATATCTTATTAATCTCGCTTGTTCATTGTCCAACAAGATTGTTAATAAATAGGTTAAATCCTCGTGACTTCTCCCACCTGGTGGCGAAGATGCAGGTATTACCTCATGGGTTTGAATTTCACCAGAAACCTCCCCGTTGATTTCTTAGTGAAGCTTCTTTGTTGTTGACAGCAATGAGAGTTTCTTAGTGAAGTGTGGTGCCAGTGACATTAAATCGATTACATAATGATTATATTTTTTTTTTATAGGAACAAAGCGAACTGTATTAGTGAGACTAAAAGAGAAACTAGAGTGGATCACTTAAGTGTCTGTCGAAAAGAACCCTAAAAAGCCATCTGCACATGATAAGTAATCCGAAAATTGTTTCCATAGTGTTTATTTTCTTGTGTTTTCTGGGTAGATATATTTTATCAAGGTTTAATACATATTACTTCTGATCAGAGATGACAGGTCTAGCTTTCTTAGTGTTACACTATGAGATTTAATATCAAGTTCCTTTCAGGACTTAGTAAGGCGCCGACTACGGGGGACTCAGGAAGCCTTTTCTAAGTTTGGTGAAGTGGTTCAAGGTTGTTTCTTCTCTTTAAACCTATTCAAATCCTCCCCTGGTGCATGGTGGACTACTAACTATTGGTGTTTCTGCTATTCGCAGCTAGGGTAGTGACTGATCGAGTTTCTGGGATATTCCAAGGGGTTTGGTTTTGTAAGATTGCTACCTTGAGATGCTGCAAAAGGCATAGAGGGCATGGATGGCAAGGTGAGTTGACAAGACACCACATTTATTTTGTTGAAGATTATACCAATGTTTGTATATCTGAGTCAAAGTGTTTAGAAGCAATGCTCTACTCAGCTCTGTTTCTTATTTGTTATCTATTTTATTTTTCAAAAATGCTTAAGTCAGCTGTAGTGTCGAATATAGCTTGAAAACTTGGTAGGGAAGGAACTAGGAAGTTCCAGCCCATCATCGGGGTGTAACCCTGTCAACTTAAATGCCACACATTATGGCTACCTTTAAGCTTCTGAAAGAAGTAACCATGAATTGTATGCCACAGCAGCTGTAATGTATAGGAACTCCCAGAGTTCTAAAAAGTTAATGTAATTTAAGATTGCATTCCCGTTTCAAATTTCAATTTCACACATAGAAAAAAATGTGTCCTTCCAAATAAAATTACTGATTCAGTGCCTGGGCACTTGGAATCTGTAGGAAGTGAAAACTGTGCATCTCAATTTTTCTGAACCTCAAGTTAGCGAAGTCAGAAGACAACTTTCATATTTCCTCATAGGGAAAAAAGAAAAAAGAAAATGTATTGAAGTGAGGTGGCTCATAGATTTCTCAATTGTCTCGCAAATGTTTGTTCAAGCGTACCGTTGTGCTAAGATTGAGTTTATCACATCCTTCTACTAACTTATTCCTTCACTGCATCCTTTTGGGCACCTTTTTATTCTCTCTCATCCCTTTTAATGTCCTTTCTATCAATTAGTTCATTTTATGGCCCTGCGGTAATGGTACCACACATGGATATACTTAAAATATATGTAGGAAAGGGGAAGAAAGCAATTAATGTTATAGAAACCATATCATTGTCTTCCTGTTCCTTTCATTTGGAGTATTTGAATGGACTTCTGATTAAAATTTGGAATTCCATCAAGATTTTGTTTTGGGGATGTAGGGTTCTTATTCTATGATGTCGTGTCATCTTAGTCAGCTAGGCGGATTCTTTGTAAAGTACTTTCTTTTTGGCTTTCTTTAACCATGAGTTTTCTAGTTTTGATGATATTACACCTAATTTTTAATTTCAATATTGCTGTTAATTCCTTCTGCAAAAAAATAACAATATATAGTTGATTCTCTCATTGTTGATGTTCAAGTTCTTCTTTTACAATCCTTTTAGGAAATGAATTCTCTATTTGTCTTTTGCATTTCTGGATGGGTGGGTTATATTTGCAGAATACGCAGACCCAGAGCACCTCCAGGCCTCCATCTGAGATATGTCTTCTCAATATGGCCACAACATGCATCCCCATATGGCCGACAGTGACTCATGCGTTCATAAAACAAGATGGTAATCCTTCACACTGGCCTTTGTCAGTGAGTATTATCCATGAACGGTTCTCTGTTTTCTATTGTTGTGGCTTCCATCAATTGTAAACCATGCTTTTGGGGAACATCACTTAATACGTGAACTGTGTGATGAATTCAGAAATAATTGATTTGAACTGATCCATGTTGGCAATATATGTACAAGACTCTTAATTTGTTATAATTTTATCAGACTGTAACTGTCTCACTAAACTGAAGTGAAAACTGGCTATGCATAATGGAATGATTTATATAGGATCATTTAGATGAAAGTGTTTGTTGTTTCTTTACACGGACAGTGAAGAAAAACAGGGTGATGTGTTTATGATATATTTGAGATGAAGGTGAGCCAAGTAGCTTGTGTTTTGGTGTTACATATAGTCCGAAAAATAAAAATTTATGTAAGACTCGGAAAAAAACGTGTTCTTAAAACTCAAACTACAAAAATTGAGAAACAATTACTTGTTTTATATCCTTCATTTATATTCTTCATTTATATCCTTCCAGGCATCCATTACTTGTTTTTGAAATTCATTGCGTGCTTCTTCTTCGGTTGCACCATGTTGTATCATGAAACACTCAATGCTTGAGCAACATGCCTCTCTTTTGTTCGAACTGTATGATAGAAAACAACTATTGGTTAGTAAGGAATTCAAGAAAAATTCACACCATATTTTAATAAATTATACTAGTAATGAAATATGTAATTACCTTGTGGGAGACCAGGTCGTTCATGAGTCTGCCGATTACTGAGGAAGCCTTTATCATCTTGGGATTTGTGAATAACCATTCAAGGCTTCTTTGGTTACTATTTCCATTCCCACAAATGATGTTGTGGCTAACATTGAGTAGCAGAGGTAACTAATGCAACAGTCATGTATCATCCATGTGATGGTACATATTTTATGACACCATTTGGCTTCACAGAAGTAATTTCTAACTAATGTCTTCATCTGAGAAATCAAAAAATCATCAAAATTTTCAATTATTAGTATAGGTAAGAATGAATGCCAATTGATTCTGAGTTAACACTAATTAGTCAAATGAAATGAAACTCACCGCTTCTTTTGCAAAATGAAGGAGGTATAATCTTCCTTGATCGGCCATGTCTTTCTCAGTCTCACTGTAAACATCAAGGAGAGCCTGATAGCACAGTTTCATGTACCCAGGCAGTTGATCCATGGCACTGACTGAACGAAATAGAGAAGCAACAGCAACAAAATAATAATAGTAAAACAAAACAAACAGTAAACAAAAAAATTATACGCGCGATTTACCCTGGTTCACTCAATGTGGGCTACGTCCAGCTGAGTCAATATTATTGAAATATGCCTCACCTCTCTCGTTTACAATGAATGAATTGCTCTCACACTCATAACAAGAGAAAAGTATGTTTATATAATAGGTTTAAGAGATTAAACATAGTTTTACAAGGATTCCTATTCCTAAGCCCAACCCAAAAAGGAATTAATAACTTAAAAGAAATCCTACAACGGTTATACATGGAAAAGCCCAAAACCGCCTACGGGCTCGGGGGCGCTGCCCCCGTGACCCCCGCCCGCTCACCGGGGAGCGGGGCACCCGCCCGATGACTGGTCAGTGGGACCCTCGAGTGCGTCTCCGTTGCCCATTAATGCTGAAGTAGTCGACAACTCCAACACTGACATCCCACCTGAAAAAAGAAAATGCAATCTTATTTGAATAAATGTAAATTAATAGGATGATTAGAGAGTATGGATATTTATAGGTCAAGAATTGAATAATTACCTCTCAATTGCTTCGGTAAAAAGCTCAAGTTCTTCAATTGTACCATACACATCATAGACATCGTCGATAACAGAAGTCATCGCAATCACTTTGGTTAATATCCTTCTAGCCAGAGAATATTCAGGCTCGAAATACACTCCCACTATCCAAAAGTAGCATTCTATCACTCTGTCTCTTACAAAAGGTAGCTTATGGGCAAAGTCTAAATCTTTCCACCACCTAAAATAACAATATTAAACAGAAGTCATTAGATAAATTCAGTGAATCTAAAGCTTAAAAATGGTAGAACTACCGTCATTTTAAAGCTTACTTTGCAATATGACTGAGTTCAATCTGGTGCATCTTTTGTAATATGTTAAAATCTAACTTTGCAAAGGCTAATAGAACTTCATTGTGGGACTGGGAAGCATCTTCTTGAAAGATGCTCATGTAATGTCTAGCGTCGCTCCTCTGTAAGCCCTTGCGAATTGGACGATTTAAGGCATGCTTAACTTGAACTGCAATTGGAGGGCCAAGTTGGGCTGCAATGGACTCAAGGTGAGTGGTGGTGAAAGCGAGCGCTTCGTCGAGTATCTTCTCTCCGTGCACCCTGATATGTGTGGCTTCATACAAACTTAACGTTCCTCGAACATCTTTTTCAGGAGATGCCTTGAACTTCCCATTGTTGTCCTTGAACTTGTTGAAAATGTCTGTTTCACCCCATCACACATCATATTTAAACGATGAAATTAAAAGGTGTAATTAAATTAAGAACAATAAGAGGAAGAGGAAGAGAAAGAACATATACCACAAGAAATATTATAACCATGTTGTCTTAGCAATCGGAATTCAAGAGAGGTCGAATATAAGTCATCTCTGAGATCACTGTCTCGGTGAGCCTTGTAGACTTTTGCTAGTATTTCATCAACCTCAGTTTCAAAATGATAAGACACGCCCAACCTTTGGATTGCATCAATCAAGTCAAGTTTCTCTGCAGGCTTTTTCGTGTCAGCAATTATCAATTTTCTAATTTCTTCCTTTAGTTCTAGTAGCCTTGCAGTATGATCAGTTTCCTAAAACAAAAAAGTTAGAGAAAATTAAAGCCATATGTAAGAGCTAGGATAGAAAGTTATATTTCAGAAACCGCAAAATATACATTGGCTTGAACTCATACACATGCAGAGTGTGCATGTTTTAGATTGAGAGTAGTTTTCAAAATGTTTTCTCTTCAGTTTTTACAGAAAACATTTTTTAACGTAAACATTTTTCGACAAACACATCCTAATTAAAATAGAAGAAGCATTAATTTTACCATGGAGTCACCAGCATATGAGAGGAAATGATCCCCCCAAATGCCAGGATGATAATTAGCTGAGCGACCATTAGTTTCTTCCTTTGCAGTATTTTCAACTGAAGCAGCAGCAGCTGAAACTATTGAAAGAGACATAATTCTAAAATTTCTTTTTTTCTGGTTGAACGAAAAACAAGAAAAGATCGATGTAGATTGTTTTGGAAAGCTTCTTGTGCTTCAAGGCCACTGTGAATCATAGTGCCTTCACAAATATGTATTTATAGACAACTCGAGAGATATAGAGTAATACTACACATGAAAAACATTTTATTTTTCTTAAATATGTCCTTATCAGAGACATTAGTTGATTTAACAAATATATGTTGGGAGGAAACTTTAATCATTTACCTCTTTATGCAATTTCATTTGTGTGTTATATTAGAATGGAAAAATATTAATAAAAGTAGATTAAAACTAATCTCGGTCTCTGACCAACATGACAAACGGATAAAATATTACTTCAAAGGCAATCAACTTGTTCATGCAAGGCACACATTCAACTTCTGGCTTCTTTTGGATCAAAGTCGATCTCAACCTGGCAATTCCTCTAGGTCACGAGACTTCTCTCTACAGTGAGATTTACGCTATTATTTCGGCTATTGAAATTGCCTTACTTCATTTGCTAGTCAATCTTAAAGAGGAATAAAAGTATGTAATGGATTTTGAAATTTATTTGAACATAATTACCGAAGTTAACTAATTTGGGGTTTTGGTTTTAGACAGGGTATGGTTTGTGTTCAACCTAACCTAAATCATCTTGTGGCCGGATCATGGTGTCTTTCCTTGATGCAATTAAAAAATTATTGTTAAATTATTTGGTTATCAGTTTTATTCATTGGTATTTTATCCATTGAGTATATTTTCTATCATGTAGAGGTTACTTCATATTTCACACTTTGTAAATATCTAACAGTCTTGTGGGAGGGCTAGCAACACATATCTTATTAATCTCGCTTGTTCATTGTCCAACAAGATTGTTAATAAATAGGTTAAATCCTCGTGACTTCTCCCCCTGGTGGCGAAGATGCAGGTATTACCTCATGGGTTTGAAATTCACCAAGAGAACCTCCCCGTTGATTTCTTAGTGAAGCTTCTTGTTGTTGACAGCATGAGAGTTTCTTAGTGAAGTGTGGGTGCCAGTGACATTAAATCGATTACATAATGATTATATTTTTTTTTTATAGGAACAAAGCGAACTGTATTAGTGAGACTAAAAGAGAGAACTAGAGTGGATCACTTAAGTGTCTGTCGAAAAGAACCCTAAAAACCATCTGCACATGATAAGTAATCCGAAAATTGTTCCATAGTGTTTATTTTCTGTGTTTTCTGGGTATGATATATTTTATCAAGGTTTAATACATATTACATTCTGATCAGAGATGACAGGTCTACTTTCTTAGTGTTACACTATGAGATTTAATATCAAGTTCCTTTCAGGACTTAGTAAGCGCACGACTAGCAGGGACAGGAAGCCTTTTCTAAGTTTGGTGAAGTGGTTCAGGTTTGTTTCTTCTTCTTTAAACCTATTCAAATCCTCCCTGGTGCATGGTGGACTACTAACTATTGGTGTTTCTGCTATTCGCAGCTAGGGTAGTGACTGATCGAGTTTCTGGATATTCCAAGGGGTTTGGTTTTGTAAGATTGCTAACTTGGAGATGCTGCAAAAGGCATAGAGGGCATGGATGGCAAGGTGAGTTGACAAGACACCACATTTATTTTGTTGAAGATTATACCAATGTTTGTATATCGAGTCAAAGTGTTTAGAAGCAATGCTCTACTCAGCTCTGTTTCTTATTTGTTATCTATTTTATTTTTCAAAAATGCTTAAGTCAGCTGTAGTGTCGAATATAGCTTGAAAACTTGGTAGGGTAGGAACTAGGAAGTTCCAAAGCCCTCAATCGTGGTGTAACCCTGGTCAACTTAAATGCCACACATTATGGTACCTTTAAGCTTCTGAAAAAGTAACGCATGAAATGGTATGCCACAGCAGCTGTAATGTATAGGAACTCCCAGAGTTCTAAAAAGTATATGTAATTTAAGATTGCTATTCCTCGTTTCAAATTTCAATTTCATCACATAGAAAAAATGTGTCCTTCCAAATAAAATTACTGATTCAGTGCTGGGCACTTGGAATCTGTAGGAAGTGAAAACTGTGCATCTCAATTTTTCTGAACCTCAAGTTAGCGAAGTCAGAAGACAACTTTCATATTTCCTCATAGGGAAAAAAGAAAAAGAAAATGTATTGAAGTGAGGTGGCTCATAGATTTCTCAATTGTCTCGCAAATGTTGTTCAAGCGCGTTACCGTGTGCTAAGATTGAGTTATCACATCCTTCTACTAACTTATTCCTTCACTGCATCCTTTTGGGCACCTTTTTATTCTTTCTCTTCATCCTTTTAATGTCCATTTCTATCAATTAGTTCTTTTATGGCCTGCTGTAATGGTAACCACACATGGATATACTTAAAATATATGTAGGAAAGGGGAAGAAAGCAATTAATGTTATAGAAACCATATCATTGTCTTCTGTTCCTTTCATTTGAGAGTATTTGAATGGACTTCTGATTAAATTTGGAATTCCATCAAGATTTTGTTTTGAGGGATGTAGGGTTCTTATGTCTATGATGTCGTGTCATCTTCAGGCTAAGGGATTCTTTGTAAGTACTTTCTTTTTGGCTTTCTTTAACCATGAGTTTTCTAGTTTTGATGATATTATCACCTAATTTTTTATTTCAATATTGCTGTTAATTCCTTCTGCAAAAAAATAACAATCATATAGTTGATTCTCTCATTGTTGATGTTCAAGTTCTTCTTTTACAATCCTTTTAGGAAATGAATTCTCTATTTGTCTTTTGCAGTTTCTGATGGGTGGGTTATATTTGCAGAATACGCAGACCCAGAGCACCTCCAGGGCCTCCATCGAGATATGTCTTCTCAATAGGCCACAACATGGCATCCCCATATGGCCGACAGTGACTCATGCGTTCATAAAACAAGATGGTAATCCTTCCACTGGCCTTTGTCAGTGAGTATTATCCATGAACGGTTCTCTGTTTTCTATTGTTGTCCGTTCCATCAATTGTAAACCATGCATTTTGGGGAACATCACTTAATACGTGAACTGTGTGAGAATTCAGAAATATATTGATTTGAACTGATCCATGTTGGCAATATATGTACAAGACTCTTAATTTGTATAATTTTATCAGACTGTAACTGTTCTCACTAAACTGAAAGTGAAAACTGGCTATGCATAATGGAATGATTTATAAGGATCATTTAGATGAAAGTGTTATGTTGTTCTTTACACGGACAGTGAAGAAAAAACAGGGTGATGTGTTTATGATATATTGAGATGAAGGTGAGCCAAGTAGCTTGTGTTTTGGTGTTACATATAGTCCGAGAAAATAAAATTTATGTAAGACTCGGAAAAAAACGTGTTCTTAAAACTCAAACTACATAAAATTGAAGAAACAATACTTGTTTTTATATCCTTCATTTATATTCTTCATTTATATCCTTCCAGGCATCCATACTTGTTTTTGAAATTCATTGCGTGCTTCTTCTTCGGTTGCACCATGTTGTATCATGAAACACTCAATCTGAGCAACATGGCCTCTCTTTTGTTCGAACTGTATGATAGAAAACAACTATTGGTTAGTAAGGAATTCAAGAAAAATTCACACCATATTTTAATAAATTATACTAGTAATGAAATAATTATTACCTTGTGGGAGACCATGTCGTTCATGAGTCTGCCGATTACTGAGGAAGCCTTATCATCTTGGGATTTGTGAAGTAACCATTCAAAGGCTTCTTTGGTTACAATATTCCATTCCCACAAATGATGTTGTGGCTAACATTGAGTAGGCAGAGGTAACTAATGCAACAGTCATGTATCATCCATGATGGTACATATTTTATGACACCATTTGGCTTCACAGAAGTAATTTCTAACTAATGTCTTCATCTGAGAAATCAAAAAATCATCAAAATTTTCAATTATTTATAGGTAAGAATTGCCAATTGATTCTGAGTTAACACTAATTAGTCAAATGAAATGAACTCACCGCTTCTTTTGCAAATGAAGGAGGTATAATCTTCCTGATCGGCCATGTCTTTCTCAGTCTCACTGTAAACATCAAGGAGAGCTGATAGCACAGTTCATGTACCCAGGCAGTTGATCCATGGCACTGACTGACGAAATAGAGAAGCAACAGCAACAAAATATAAGACAGAATTATCCTTAACAAGGCATTCCTCCATAAGTGACAAAACGCGGGACAATATCTTTTAGACCCTGAGGTTTGGCTTAAATAACCTTTCGTCCTGTTAAATTATTAGTAACGTTTTGATCCTTGTCAGTGTCCGCAACATTTTGCCATTTTGGTACCCAAGGTTTTTATGGGTGCGTTTGGTTCATTATTTTGGATAGGATTTTGAGAATAATATTGGGTAGTTGGATAGGAAAATATTACGAGGTAAACTTTAAAAATGTATGAAAAAGCTCTTTGGTTTGCTAATTTAATTAAAGACCCTAATATATAAAATGATAAAAACACCCCCACCACCTACAGTGCTAGATTCCGACCACCACCATTGAAATCTGGCAGAAAATTTTTGTTACGACACAGACCGGTCGGATATGTGTCGTAACGCGTCGCTATGGCCTTTTTCGACCAGATCCACCACGAATCTGGCCGAAAAAGGCTAGATTTAAGGC